TGAGTATGTCATCATTCCGGTAGGCCTGCGCTGAAAGTCTGAATCTGATTCTGATTCTGAATACTGAAAGTCTGATTCTGGTTCTGAATGCTAAAAGTCTGAGTCTGAATACTGAAACTCTGATTCTGATTACTGGAATTCCGGATCTGAATACTGAAATTATGAATGTGAATAAGAAGGCTCGGCACCTGGCCGGTGATGACCAAAGTCTTTGTAATAAAACCATAACAGTATTATTAACTCAAGCATGCGAGCGAGTCTACAGCGTACATGGATTCTACTACAGTATTATAAAACTGAAATTCAGACTATCCAGTAGCGATGAACATAAGAAACAATAAAAACGGCGGCAGCAAATCTGTAGAAGTACTCTGTACATACGAGTATTTGTGCTGCAGATCTTCATGCATCACAATAATATTTAATGCAGACGCTCTTCTTGATATGTTTCTTCCAAGCTAGTCTATGCCAGACCTGGCTAATGCCGAATGTACGGGAGGTTGTGTTGGATTTTGTTATCTTACGAATGTGGCTGCATTATTCTCTATGCTATTATGGGAATTGTTTTGTAATTTATGGTCTTACAAATGTGCGACACGTAGTCGGCAACGACCTCTGTGTTATTATGTGGGAATGTTTTGAGTTCGTTCGGTTGATCAGCCGCGATGCAGGGATTGTAGAAGGAGGCGTAGTCAGAAATATTGAAGCAGACTGTTAAGAAGCTGACTATCAAACAAAATTTTTGCTGCTACAAGTACCGAGTAAGAATAACGAGTTCCTATCAGTCCATTTCTACTTCAAAAAATAACTAAAATGCAGTACTTACAAAAGTCTGAAATAACAACAAACCTTAAAAACCGGAAGGAATAATTGTAAGGAGGAAGATAAATTAATAATGAGACCGGTAAGTCACCCATAAACCAACCCGGGCTAACGATAACGATAACGTACACTGTCAATCATATCGAACAGGATGGTGTCGCTGTTCGAAGCTGTATAGTGTATACTGTAGACTGCAGAGACAGCTTCAAGTTTAAACCTGATAATTCAGCACGAGCTGCTTCTTAGCAGTTGATTTTTTGGAAACAAAGAATTATTCCCGAAAATGGTAAATAAAACTGCCACTATCGAAAAGAAAATTACAGCCCTGCTCAGTCAAGTTTCTTCAAAAAATTAGCACAGGTCAGCCGTGGTAAAATACTTCCTTATTTAATTTTTTCTTAGTCCGATATCTTTTTTATTTGGAGATTCTACGCTGAGACCGCTTTCCGAATAATCGTGAGGTCAAAATTAGGGTAGACCAGCGGAAAAAGGCGGCTCGACCCACTCAGCGTGGTAGCAGTAGTCCTGTTTGAAATTTGTTTACAAATTCTAATAACACTGTTGCCCAAAAGCAATAGCTCTGAGTTGTTGGTCATCCAATGCTCTTGCGAAAGATACCATACATCAGCCTATTTCGGCCAAACCTGGGTGACCTTTGCAGAGTGACTGCAAGCACCTTTGAATCGGGGGGTGACCTCCCTTGCACGCTTCCGGTGCAGCCACGGCATGCGACGGGTAAATATTTTCGACGAACTCGTATTTGCCAAGGCTTGAGAGTCAATAAAAAGTCTTCCTCTCATACAATATGCTTGAAACACTCCATTTCAAGACACTGTAAGAGCAAGCATACGATTTTTTTGCAACCGCTTTGCTGATTTTTTATTCTGTTCATCGGGCCACTGCATTTCTCTGGCTGGATAGTTTGTGCCTGTTCAAACCTCAGATTCGTTTCAAGTGGTCCATGTTTTATTCATGGAAAATATCAACTTGAAGTTACTGTATTTTGGTCTGTGCGCTCGGCGACCGCATTCTTCGTCAATCGTCAGGTATGTCTTAACATGCAAGCCTGTGGGAAGTTCACACTGTTTCGGGATCAGCCCGAGCACTGATCGCGCTAGATTTTTTTGCTGACGCATAACGGACAGGCTTCGGTTTGCTTAAGAGTTTCCAGAAAAGCCCACGTAAAAATATTTGTTGGTGTATCCTTCAGAGGGGCCGGTACAAGCATCCTAAAAATGACCACTATCCCACCCCCTTAACCAGTGCTCGGCTCCCTACTGGCACACCAAAGGGCACCGGTTTTAAAACTCCTAAATTCACAGTAAAAAGTCACACCATGTGACTGCAAATTCAAAAACGAAACAGTGTATACAGTTAATTTATAATTATTCAACAAAAGTGACCAAACTTGGCTGAGCAGGGCTGTATTATGACAGAAAATTACTCGCCTTCAAAAATTCCAATTAGGTACATGCAAAGGGTATTCCAAAAATAATTTTCTATAATTACCTCTGTCATTTGAAGTAATGTAAAAAATTTGTGCACTTATGCAAAAAAAATAATTTTAGGATATATTTTTTGTTGCATAAGCCATCATGAAAACTATCGACAAAAACAAAAATCAACAGGTTCGGTGAAGAATTCAAAAACCGAAAAATGAAATAGCTTGGGCTACGTTTTCTGCCTTTTCACGGTCATATTTTCGGAATGCTTCAACCGACATGCTCTGCATTGCCACAAACGTTGCTGAAAAGTTTTCTTCGAAAGGTTTGATGTGTCAACTGCCAGTATTGTGCTTATTATTACTGTGATGGTAGAACGTCTTAAAAAAAATTAGAGGGTGAAGTAAAGGTTTTTTCTCACCGCACCCCAACATTTGGGAGTGTGACATTTCGCCGCAATTACTCGTAGATTCGACGCGCGACTTTTCGCCACAAAGACATTTCGCAATTTGCATTGTACCATTTGAACTTTGCGACATTTCGACGCGAGACGTCTTGTCGCGGACACTTAGCCGCAGAAGAATTCGACACGCTTAATTTTCGCGGGCTTTCCGGGGTTGTCGGAAGGTTTTGTTAGGTTTCATAGGTTTGTTGGGCTTCTTATGTTATTTTTAGGTTATTCTTAGCTTTCTTAGGTTTTCTTTGGTTTTCTTAAGTTCTGGATATCTTAGGTTTTCTTGGGTTTCTCAAGTTTGTTGCATCGCGGCTGATCAACCGAACGAACTCAAAACATTCCCACATAATAACACAGAGGTCGTTGCCGACTGTGTCGCACATTTTGTAAGACCATAAATTCCAAAACAATTCCCATAATAGCATAGCGAATAATGCCGACATTCGTAAGATAACATTAGTAATAGTTTTATTACAGAAACTTTGGTCATCACCGGCCAGGTGCCGAGCCTTCGTATGCACATTCAGTATTTCAGTATTCAGATCCAGAATTCCAGTAATCAGAATCAAAGTTTCAGTATTCAGACTCAGACTTTTAGCATTCAGAATCAGAATCACACTTTCAGTATTCAGACTCAGACTTTTAGCATTCAGAATCAGAATCAGATTCAGACTTTCAGCGCAGGCCATTCCGGTGGACTGTTGTCGCTGCACTTGGTAGAATGTTTGTTGTTTGTTGTTTGTTTAATCAGCTTAACGTCTACAACAATCAGGTAAACGCCTGCACGAGGTTGCAGACAAACGTTCAAGATCAGCTGCCACAAAAAATGACAGCCCCTTTCAAAAATTCTTCCAGCTATCGTAATCACAATGCACAGTAAACAAAGTTATTTCAGTATGTAACATAAAACGAAGGATATCACAATAGTCAACAAGATCAATCAGTACACCCATTCTCGCACGAAAACGTTGGAGGGCCAAAGTTCAGGTCGTAGGATTTTATCAGCATCGTCTTTGAATATTCCAATCCGCGCAAACGTCGCAGTGCGCTTGTCTCCACGTGGGGGAACAAAAACACTTACGAATCTGGTAGAAATTCCTTCGCTGTTCAGCTGATTGGCGATGAAATTGTTGTATGCTTTCACACTGGTGAAATTTGAATTTTCAAGGCGAGGAATACCTTTCACGCAAAAATCAGCATGTGGTTTTCGCTTACACTGCAGGGTCTTGCTCAATTCATTGCGAGGTTCCACGTCAGCACCGTTGTAGATCTGACATCCACGAATAGATTTTGGCAACCGCTTAGTAGCAACGACATGTGCATACGAAGCATGGGTTGGCGGAGATGGCATAGGCGAAGGGTTCGATCGGGTTTCAATGCCAGCTGGCATAAACTCAGGACATTTCATCGCACCAAGCCGCGGCACTTCAACTTTTCGAGGTTTCCACAGTGCCCCTTTTTTCTCCATCGTCTTCCTCTTCTCATCCAGAAGTTCCCAATTTCCCGGAGCGTATCCGAAGTTTTCATCAACAACACGCGCAACAAGAGGGTCCGAGATCACATCATCACTGTCGTATCCCCGCGCAGGGGTCTCACCGCCAGTGGCGAGTCCACATTCTATCACGAAAACTCGTTCACATAGCTCTTGCACTCCGTTCTTTAATTCAGCGATATCATTAGACGACAAAAGGTTCTCCTTAGGAGGCTCCACGGCAAGACTTGGCAAGATTGTGAAGGGAGTAACTTTCAGCTGGTTCTTGATGGCCACATTTTCGACAGTCAATTCTTCGATTTTCGATTCCAGGCACTTTACATGGTTAACAAATTTCTTAAGTTCGGGTATAAATTTTTCCCAATTAACTTTTGAGCCAGAAAAGTCAAAAGAAAAGTCGCAATCAGTCATGTTTCCAAAATATTCAAAATATTCCAAAAAGTGCGAATTTCTAAGTTATTTCAGTATGTAACATAAAACGAAGTGCAGTTGTTATCATGGACAGACTCACCTACCGTTCGTGATAAATGACCTTTTTCATCGTGGTGTTCGGGAGAAGGGTGGAGGCTCACGCAACAAGTCAATGGGGTATGTTTTCTGGTTTGGATTATTTTCCAGATTTATTTATTTATTTTGCTTTCGAATTTAGCATGTTTGTGCGCTCTTTCTAACCGTTACAATTTTTATGACGTGAATATGTGTGTTCCAGCTTGATTTCGACGCGGTACGTTTTGCATTATAAGTAGGAAGATGTCGCACAATGATTTATCCTGTGTAATTGCGACGATCATAAGGATGCAAGCGAATCAATACAAGAAACTATTAAACCACAAACTAGAAACTTTAGGGCGTATGCATATTGTGCCGTTGCATAAGTAAGTGGTACTAATCAGTAAAACTGCCGAGAAGCAACTAGTAATATGATTAAATTTGCAATATTTGATCACATGATTGAATAACTCTTGTGGAAGGCGGTTGTGCTTTGCGGCTAGAAGCGCAGCGCAGCGTTGCGGGCCAGTCCATTGGCTAAGGGGGGCGGGATGACGGTGGTCGTTGGGCATACCGTAAATGACTTGGAAGCCCGTGACAGCGAAGGGATGCGGGTACGCGCACAAGGAAATCTGCATGATGCAGAACAGCGGAGGAGCGCTGGTTTCCAGGTCCAGGTTCGCCAGATCCTGCTTGTTGCCGAATTCCTCGCTTTCCGTCCCGACGGCTTTCTTGAATCGCACGGAAACGATGGTATCGAATACCTTGCTAAATCGCCAGTGCACAGAGGACAAACACTGGTTGGTTCGCGGGTTGAAGGAGAGCGTGTGCGGAGTGCCACCGTTTTCTTTCCCGGCGAATGTATCAGCCCCTGCACACAGAGAAAGTTGCTCTGCTATACTGAAAACTGAGGTCGGTATGCGCAGTTATATGTACTGTATGTATATGTACTGTTATATGTACTTATTAATTAATAGTTAATTACAGTACATCGAGTATTACATAAGTAACAAGAACAAAAATCCCTGACATCATTGCCGTTCAGCTAATTTAAAGGCAAAATACACATCTTCCTTCTCAACCACGTTATATGTTATATGTACCATTTTCGTAAGTGATCTGCATGCCGTCGATCCAGTTGTGGCTGCGTACCAGCACGCTGGTTATGTGCTTCTTGCCCCAGTCGGCCATCGCCGGCTGGCACTTGATCATCTCCGTTCCGGTAGTGGGGATGACATACGTTGGCGGCTGGATAATCCCGGAATGCAATAAGGGGAAATCCCCGGCAAACGGCCCGAGGTCTTCGTAGCCCTTGACGAAGTTGTGCAGGATGAAGGCTTTGGAAATGACGGTCATCATGGCCAGCTGCTGCCGGTGGACGTACGCCCGACGAATCGTTTCGCCTAGTGTATGGTAGTCGCTACTTTTGCCTGAGCACATTACACAGTTTTTCTCCGTTAGCAAGGTGTTGGTTAATTTGTCCCGGACGGTCATATGGTCCTCCGGTCTGAAGAACGGAGGCAGGAGCATCGGCCCCCAACTACGCCATTCTTCCAGCTCCACCTGCCTCCACCTGTTGAGCATAATCAGTTACTGTACAATTAATTACTGTATAATCAGTAGAGATCTTTTCCTTGTATAATTCATATTTCTACAAATTACATTATAAAATAAAGTTTCACTAATTTTGAGAAAAAGTTAAGGGCTGTAGTACCTAAAGTACGTACAGATATGTGGATAATTAAAACGTTTGATGGATACACTTCACAGCACCGAACAGGCATTTACTTAATTAAGTACTTATATTTTATTTGTCAAAGAGTCTGACTGCGCTTCCCTTTTTCTTTATCGGGTGGCTTATAACGCAAAGAGTACAGTTATGCGTACAAAAATTACTATTTATTTATTTGTACAATTACAAAAATCTAATTGTGTTTACAACTCCAAAATAAAATCTTATTGTACTTAAAATTCTAAAAATCATTAACTACAGTAAGCAACGCCAACGCCGTATAATATTACTGTTTATTTGCTTTAACACAAGATAGCCACTCCCGATCTACGATGAAGCAAGCGCAGGCTTACTACGCAATCATTAGACGTTTAAACATCGAAAAAACAATGATACTCTTCATCTTCCAAAAATTAACTTCTTTATCATCGAAAAAACAATCGCTCTTTAAGGTGTGAAGAACTTAACATAACCGTGGCATTTTCTTTCATTACGGTTAAACTAAATGCGACGCCATTCAATTGTAATTATGTACTAACACTACGATGGACTGTAACTATATATATAGTTTTCGGAAATGCTTCGTAAATTTTCACAGCCATGATAATTTTCTTATTGTCGGCACTGCGCTGATCTACTGTGCTTGTAACATTGTTCAGTAGTATCGTACGCTTGCGAGTCTTGCACTCTTACATTGCAAACTAGCAGTCTGTCACTACTCCGCTCAGTTACCTCCAGTCCATCCAGTTGGAGAAAGCTGTAGACAAGAACGTCCAGTATCGGGCCAGCCAGTTCTCCATTTCTTGGTACCACTGCTCCTTGGCGACCTGACCGGGAAACAGCTGCTCGCCGAACATGTAGCGTTCGCGCAGGGCGGCCATGTGAACATACGCCAGATTGACGGCATACACGAAGGTCTGGTTCTTATTGGGACTGTTGTCCAAGTAGGAATAGATGTCCAGGCACCGACCCAGGATCCCCACCAGCCAGTCACCCTTCTCCGGCAGATTAACGCAGCTCCGGTAGCTGTCCATCCGCAGTCGCAGTCCGTCCAGGTCAGCGATACGTGTAAACTCTTCAAACTTCTCAATCTTGCTGTCGATGAGGCTGTCCACTTGCTGACGCACTTGCAGCCAGACATTCGGCTTATTTTTCGGCCAGAAATAGGAGACGATGGCGCCCATGAGGAGACCAACCTCCGGAACGCCGCCCGCCTTGCTCAGGCCGCTGATTCCCTGTAACAAGATGGAGCGCATGGTGTCTTCCCAGTCGATTGTCATGCGGGCGGAGCGCGGATGCATTTGAGCGGAACTGTTAAAAATCGCCGACCTTCGCGGTCCGCCAGAATACCGCGAAGAAACCGATGGCTGGTGGACGCCGGATGTCGCTGGCATCCTGTCGCGCCCTTCCCGAAAGGTCACGTTGCGCGCATACACGGCTGGATGACGCGATTGCAAACCGGTATCGGCACTGGCATGTACAGCATTAACTAGCATCAACGCTCCGAACGTCAGATAACCGATGATGGCTCCCCCATAAATCCGTGCCATGCTTCTTTGCTATTCCCAAGTTTCTACAATAACAATGCCAAAAAATACCACATCACAAGATTTACAGCAAAGGTCACAGATATTACATGTCAAAATTAACCGCAAATTTCAAGATTTATCACCTATGTACTTCAATAAAGCAGTCACTGGAAACCGTAATTTACAGACAAACAGTTTTCCAGTTTCCAGACAAAGAGTTTTCTAAAATAATTTGGCTTTTGTTACTAAAAACTCCATGAATGTCGGAGCATAAACTGTACGGAACACCAACAGAATTTCAAAAAAATTAATAGAATAAAAATCTGGATCGGGCCGGTGACGTATCGCAAACTTAAAAAAATATGTACAGTATTTTATAAACATGTACTACGTAGTATACGAACACTCACAGGGCCGAACGTACTACCGTAGTATACGAGCACTTACGGGCCCGATCGATGTAATTATGAGAAAATTCAAGGTACTGGCACTATGAAGTGTGTGCCATGACAGGCGGCAAAAAAAATACGGAAGCAACAAATGCAGCACCTCGGCAACAGATAAGTAAAATACACGTCCACGTCAACAAAATTAATGTTAGCAAACATGCCACACGCGTTCTTAATTCACCAACAAGGTTCCTTTGGACACAAAGTACACGTGCAGAGTACATTAACCCGCATTATAATTAAGGTATGAATGTTTCTTATCTGATGACTTCAGTGTGGGACGAAAAAGTAGATGTTCCAACACGTTCACGTACTGTAGAACAAGTTCTTCTCTGTTCAAACCCAGTGCCGGCGCTTTGTGCGCACTGGATGTTTTCCTGATGCACACTATTTCGTCGAGTTTATTAGTGGCCACTGGCCAGCTTTAGCTTAACTTCATACGTAAATTTGCCGGGCTCATTGTTCTGTACCGTTTTGATCGTAAGATAGTGGCATTAACGGCTACCGACCGAGAGCATTCGTTTTGATACAGTAGTTCACTTTTGAAAGTTTTGCGGCATCCTGCCGCACGTTCTCCGTGCCGGTATGTACACCAACATGTGCCCGTGGATATGCCTTATGCAGCTACGTGGTACACGTACTGTTCCGGTTCATACAAGTCACTGAAAACGGTTGCCCAAAACCGGCAACTTCTGGGCTTAGCGTTTACTAAATCATAGATTCTACAGATAACAAATAAGCGCTTTCTAACGCATTTTTATAATATTAATACAGAAGGATTTACAATTACTGTAATTATCTAGAACTACAACCTGACGACAGTTAGTATTGTATACCCACCGTATTAATTTTGGTATATCTATAGATATATAGCTATGTTTTACGTGTTGTACGTATTGTACACTCCACCGGAAGTAAGGAAGCGTCTTTCTCTTCGAGACTGCATTACGCGCGTATTAGCGGCACGATTCGACAGGATGTTTAGTAATGCTCACGTAAGCGTCAAGTACACCAACAGGCAGTTCTGTTAACTGCAAAATTGATAACTTTAAGGCTTTTACCTTTATCAGCCAACAATCGCGCATCGGCTCTATCGTTTATGAATTCCTTGAAAAAGCAGAAAAAAGACGAGCGCAGAGTACAAACAGTAGTGAGTCGGCGATGTCCGCCGTAAACCGTAAAACGGGCACCGCTTTTAATCAAAAGTACAGAGTTAGACAGAGCGTGTGTCTAACGAATTTCTGTCTGCTCCCTTGATTAAATGCGGTTTACGGCGCCCGGTTGCTTCCCCAGGCGGACATCGCCGACTCACTAGTATGGCATGTACGCCGAGAACGACGAATTCAACCTTTCTTTTATTAATTAACGGACCGAAGTCCGGGGTCCCCCGCTAGCTTTAGGACGCCTTCGGTTGCTTATGGCCGCTCGCGCGTCATCAAACGGCCACCGTAATAAACGTTTAGGTTTCTTAGGTAATTCGGATGAAAGCGCAGCAGGGTTCCGAATTATTCGCTGTCGCTCTGCAACAGCATAGTGTCACAGCATATTTTCTGCCAAGATCACAGAAGTTAGGATGCGTGCCATTTTATCACATAAGATCTGCAGTTCAAACAAAAATCTAACCCGAAATTATTTTGAGTACATTACTGTAAACATTATCAAGTCGACAACGATAGAAGAAACGCAACCCAGCAGCCCATTTTGTTCCCTTTTCCGGAGTTATTTCCATTTCCCGTACCGCAGAATTCTTGCTGGTCAGCGGTCTGGCTCAGTTGTGCAACTTGTGCGTTGTCGTACAGCCAGCCACCCGCAGCTGACGTACTGGTTCGTCAAATACGAGGACCATTGGATGCTGTGAACATACAGTACCCTGCACGATTGGGCTGGGATGAACAGCCGGCTAACTTTAAGCCGTTTGCATTTAAACTGGAATATCAGTAGCGCTGCAAGCTGCGGCTAACCGGCTGCTCATCGCAGCCCAATCGTGCAGAGTCAGTTCACAGCACCCAAGCGGAATGGTTTTAAGCTTTTGATTCAGCAGCTTGCAGGTTGCTGTGTGCTGACTTTAGATCGGTTTCCAGTTTTCTGCAGGAGTGACGCAGAGTCGGACCAAATTCGCTTCCATTTACCCAAAAGTCCAAAACCGATTATCGTTTTCTGACCTGTTTTCTGAACTGCCATCGAAGTGTGGGCGTTATTTCTTTACGTCCTGTACTCCTGTCAGACGCCATGGATGCGATGCCGCCCTATCAGGTGCTACTGGCCGATGCCAATCAAATCAGCTACAACAACACCGTTGCCGTTCGCAGTGGTGCCATGGCAATGACATTCGGTGGCTGGGATGGAATCAGGATGTTGGTGCCGATTACGCTTTCATCCACTTCGACTCCACCACAGCCGAAGCCCGCTGGACACACATGAAAGACGTCTGGCCGATGCGTCTGACCGACTGGGACACCGAGCCTGTCCTAGAAGATGACGAAAACCTCCAAGGATTTGCGGCACTGCGCGATGAATATAACGGACCGTTGCGTTTCCGACCAGCTGTGATCCTGCACTGCCTGCTCGGATGTAGCGTGCGATGTTGGATGTTGTGCATCCGCACCATCGTGCCCAGCAGTGCCAACACCGCTCCTGCACCCCAAACAGCTGTTCACCTGGTCCACGTGCGCCAAGTGGCGTTAGCGCTGCCACCCAGCGGACCCTCCTTGCTGGGTCGCCGCAGCAGTTTGCGCTATACCAAGCACTTCATTCCTTTCGGGCAAGCCAGCGCCCTCCTGCGGGAGCCTGCCGATGAATGTCGCATCATTAAGCATGTGCACGACGCTCTGCAAGCCCAATTCGACTAACTGATTCCGCCGGACTGCTGCCGATTTCATCTGCGCATCGAAGAGGCCGGTTGCATGGTCCTCTGTGTCAGTCTGCGTCTGGCAACCGGCACGCAACTGACGCCCTGGATGGCGGAAATCCTGCCCACAATTCTGGAAACCCGTCTGGCCAGCCGCGCGCGTCTACTGTGCATCGCTGATCCTACATCCCACGACAGTGCCGATCTGCCTCACGAAGCCGGTAATTATCAGCTGGACGTTCATATTCTAAAACTGTACTGCAATAGTGTATCTAATTCAACTGCATTTGTTTTCTTAGATATGAACGTTGCTGCAGTGATGCTTGATGGTTGTATCCGCGGTTTGTCGCCTTCACTGCTGAGCGACATCTTGTCACAACTGGATCTACATTCACGCATGAGAGTGAAACGGTACGGATTGTCTTGGTCCTCGCTGATCTTTGACGCTTTTCGGACGGTCACGATCGGGCGTACAGTACAGGGAGTATGTGTTTGTTCTATAGGGTGTGTGTCTTGTGGCATTTGCTGCTGAGCCACTCCAGCATGGAGGAGCACGTCAGCATCTCCTTCGCCAGCTGCCGGCCATGCCAACCCGAGAGCGCCAACTGTTTCAAGTTGGACTCGCTCCTCGGCCGTTCCATCGGCGCAGCAACACTCAGCATCACTCTGCTGCGCGTCTTTCCGCCACGCTGCCCCACATTCCTGCATCCGCTGTTAGCGGCCATGGACATTTAGCTGCCGTACCTGGTGCTGAAAGACCACACCACCGAACCATGGGGATTCTTTGGAGGAAAACAGTCGCGTTTAAAGCACGGGCAGCGCGTCATTTGAGGCTGTATAAGCGCACTGCCAGCGCCATCTGTCTGCTGAACTGGAAAGTGTCCAACCTGTTTGTGGCCATGTGTACGAGGTCTTTGTGGATGATCGTCGCTATAAACTCTTGGACATGGAGGTGATCCCTCGTCCCCTCCCAGCGCACGAGCGGGACTGGATGCTGCCGCTCACGGAGCAGTCGCACGAACTGGCCATCGACAAACTGCAGATTTCCATTCCGGCGCTGGTCCTGCCTTGCCGCGACGAGACGATGGGCATGAGCAGTCGCTTGATGTGCGCGCTGAACGACCACTTCCCGCCGGTCACGCAGGACATTAGCAAAGGTCACGACGGTGCATGCGCGTTGGCTGCGGACCCTGACCTATCCCGAGGACTGGCAGAGGATCCGCGACTACCTACTACTGTCAGTACGAATAATTCATGCGATTTATCCAGCTGAGCCAGCGCTGGCTTAGTCACTGCTATGGAAACAGGTCCAACCTCATCTGTATTTCGTCTTCGTGGTAGGTTTAGCGGACTCCACCCAGCTGGCAGCCCGAAAGCGTGGGAAGGCGTCGATCTGCGGTGCGAGGATATTTCCACCTGGAGCAAACTGGCCATCTACGGAGGTGTTCCGCGTGTAAGATGGACGCGGTGCCGCTGACATCATGCTGATCGTGATGAAAACGAGTACCTGATTATCGCTGTACGAATAATTATGGTAGTGTGTTTCGACTGCGGTTCTGTTAAGGGTTAACCGGTTTGAAGTGATATCTCTAAGTTGACGTGATATAGAGTACGGTAGCGGTGTGTACGTAAAGTGACGGCTTTACTCGTACTTTCTATTATCGCTGTACATTCTCGATCGTTCTCTTTTGTTTTCGGATCTACTTTTGGTTGTTTCTACACGGATGCGCCGTGCCTATATAAGTTCTTTTGCTGGTGAGCATAGTTCGCTACATCTGCAGTACTGTAGCGATGTCGTACGTAAAGTGACGGCTTTACTCGTACTTTCTATTATTCGCTGTACATTCTCGATCGTTCTCTTTTGTTTTCGGATCTACTTTTGGTTGTTTCTACACGGATGCGCCGTGCCTATATAAGTCCGTGAGTGGCAGTATTTTCGATCATCAGTTCTGGCATTCTGAGTTTGGCAGTTTCGGAGTTATGAATTAAAATATCGTCGGAGATGCAGTTCTCGCTTCGCGTAGATTCGTAGTCTTAGCTATGCCACATTGAGATACCAGCTCATACTCTGTCGTTGAGTAGGTCGGTAGGATAGATTATTACGGTAATTATTCCTATCGTACTGATCTCTCCGTCATGGCGCCCACCGATGTTCGAACCTTTTCGATCGCAGCTAAGTGAAACTGTGATTGAAATTGCGATTGTGAATGTTGGCATTCAGAAAGTGCTCAGTCCGGGTACAACTGTACTGACTGGACGGATGTCCGGGCAGCTGGTCTGCCGTCTGGACGCCTGAAAACGTTAGTAGTCCGGGTACTGGCGACGCGTATTTTCATATTAATTCAGCTGTAAGTAAAGGTATGTACAGAATACTATGTACTACTATGTAGTATAAATTAAACTCATTATTTCGGCCAAAGTAGCAAGAGCAAGCAGAAAATATGGTACAATAAAATTTACGTTTCTTGTGATGCTGCGCGTACTCTGTATATGGAAGTAACTGCTCTGATTATGATTTTTTTTACAAAACACCGACAAAAAAACAACAGAAAACTCGATTTCTATTGGAAGTAATTGCAATGGAATGCAATGGAATTAATCTGTACGGTGCTCGCGTAATTACTCATGACACAGACATGAAATAATTGTTGAGGTTTGTGGCGCTTTCAAAGCGCCGCTTTGTGCGTACGTTGCGCGAGCTAATCAGGCGGCGAAAGGGACCAACTACAAGCGATAACACCGACCCGCATATTGGCTCACACCACCGCAATCAGGTTGATCATATAACCGATAAAAATTAATCATAAAATATCGGCACTTCAAAATTTTCCTGTCTTGTTTTGGCTAGTCATGACGCTGGTGACCGGGAAGCAGATCACATTCCAGGGTTGTGGTATGGATAATGGGTTAAGCCATAAATGAGGACGGTTGGTAGTTCATAACTTCATAACTTGTTTAGCATAATTAATTAAGGTGTCGTTGCACCCAAGACCAGAAATTCAGTACGCACATGATATGCTGCTGGTTACAATGGCACTGCAAGATCGTGGGAATGTCGATAATCCGTGCGACGCGGAGCTCTGCGAGTTCGTGCGGGGAGTTACCGAGGTGGACTTTGTATCTAACGTATGCTAATCGCACCCTCGCTGCAATAATTAGGCAATTTCGTCTATCCCATCCAACTTCCGGCACGCGCTTGCGCATATCTGGCTTATTTGACGGGATGATCAAGTTTTGTGCATGCCTTTAAAGGAGCAGCGCCCACAGACGACTGAAGGCGTGCATCGGCAGCACTTCGTTATCGTATTCTTTTAACACCACTCCGTCTAACAAGCGGACCACACTTTGCAGGGCATTTATTATCGCACACAGCTGCTCCGTCCCTGTTCTGCATCTCGCAGATTGTCTTGTGGGCGAGGCGAGCAGCAGTAACCCGTCTATTTCCGGGCTGCAGATGTTCTTCGAAATGTCTAACGCCACCACACCGAGACACCGCCCCCATTAGCCAATGGACAGTTTTAGTCTGAACCACACATTACTTAATCAATACGCCAACTTTGCAAAATGAATTAGCGGTATTATTATTATCACTGTTACTGTAGTGAAAGGTGAACTTTAAT